AGTTGTGTTTGATAGTTCCTGTTATTGAAATATATATTTGAAACCTGTACTTCAATAGCTTGAAAAATTCTCTTGTGGAACCATCAACATCACAGTTTTCTTCGCCTACAAATGACAACTCTAGCTAGAATCAAATGCTGCTAGAAAGTTCTAGATCCATTTAGAATCAACTTCTTACAGTGAACAGAACTCCACTTCCTTAAATGCCACTTTTAGTTTCCACTTTCTTTGTTTCGTATAGCTTTGGTAGGGACTCCCACTTGATGCTACTGCTAGGAGGGTGTTTCTGGAATGTAGTAGGGTGACGTCACCGTATTCTGGACAGTTAAGGAAAAATCAAGTATTGTACCAAGCGTGAATACAGATGCAAAAAGAAAGTAGCAGCTAAATGTTGCTACACCTTTACTTTATCTGATAGAATAAACCAAGTTTTGACAAAGCCTCAATTCCGGACAATCCAGCCAATTTTTGCACGCCCGTCAATGACCCAGTACACGGACAATCTTTCCAATTAATGAACATTTTATTATTATTATTATTAATTGATGAAATCAATTATTATTATTTTAAAATTTAACACTCACAAGATGAACATACCCAATCAACATCATTAATATTCTCATACACTAAACCGACACAAGATACGTGATACCAATGATCACAAGTGTCACAGCATATCCAGTTTCCATCATTGCATTCATATTAATGACACTTCGGACACCATACATCATCTTTAACACTGCTATTACATGATTCATCCTCACTGCTGCTAGTCTTCACATTCTTAGTTCCTCCATCCTTCCTTGAACTACCACCATTCTTCTGCACGACAGGCGTCTCTTCCTCACTAGATCCTTCGTCTGACTCAACTCTTGCTTCAGTTACCTTTCCCTCACTACAGCTTTCTCCTGACCCACACACTTCTTTACCAACAGTTCCTGCTCGAGTTACCTTTCGACCACAACCTCGACCATAACTACGACCACGCCCCCAACTGCTTTTACTCTTTTTCTGTTTGACTATTTTTCTCCTTTCTTCTCTTTCCTGAAACTTCTTCTCTTTCTCAGCTTCCTTAAGCTGGTGCTTCTTTTCTCTTTCCTTTTTCCTCCTTTCCTTCTCTTCTTGCTTTTTGAGTTTCTTATCCTGTAGGTAGTCTATCATTTGAGCACCAGATAAATATTTAGGCATCTGAGACCTCCTCCTTCCACTTTTCTTTTGAGGCACTTTAGGATACACAATAACGTCATCTGTGACCTGTGACCATCATCCTGTGACCAAGTACGATAACATTTAGCCATTCTGAAAGAAATAAGATACAGTGATTATGTTAATTAGCAAAAATTAAAATCCAAGCATGTAGTGGTAATTAGACAGTGAAATATTAAAGAATAAAGAAAGAATAAAGTTCAAAAAAAATTCTAGTGTTCTAGCTAGTATGGTCTACAAAATATAATTAATTAATAATCAATAAGTTGTGACCCCACCCAAATAGCATGTGTCTGACTATTGGTACACTACTTAGCCACATTAGAGTAAGTAAAACAACATAAGCAGTACCAGTGTTCATTTAATACTACAATTTTAGAAAGAGGTAAGGTAGAGGAACAACGCGAATCCCAAAAACGCCAACTAAATGGCTTACATAGCACTAAGGCTATTACTAAAGACAGCCCTCCTCTTAACACCTTAAACTACTAGAAATATAAGTGCTGGTTTTCTACTCACTAGCTTTCTTCTCGTTATAAGCTCTAGAGTCAGTTTTGAGATAAGGAAAACACGGTACCGAGCGAAAGTAGAAAGGTCCAGGAGTCCGCCAGTCCATTAAAGGAAGCACCATGTGCTGGAAATGCGGAGAAAATGAGCTAGATTCCCGATAGGTCCGATAAGTGGGTGTGTCCAGTTAATAGTGACTCCACCCTACATGGATAAAATCTCTAAAGCCTTTGTCTTCACCATTTTTTTATCCACCCTGACTCTCTCTTTACTGCTCCTCATAATCTCATACAACATGCAAATATACAGCATTTCCCTATAGTAAAGGGACCTAATAGAGGAGGGGCTCAAATACCACTACCCTCTATCTGTTACTCCAATTGCACAAATGGAATGATTGTTTTTTCTGTATTTCTGCTTCTTCAAACATAACCTTGACCCATGTAGACTGTGTGTTCTTGCCAAAAGTTTGGTGTTTCTAAACAATAGATGCTGAGAGTCTTGAGGTGCTTCTTCCTTTTGGCATGTTTCTTCTTAAGTCTCTTTTATTCAGATCCTTCACTTGAGCTTGTAGTACAGCAGGTAAGGGCTACATATAGAATATGTCTTCTTCTCCAGCATGACTAGGAAGCTTGCTTATGTACAAATCCAGAGTCTTCACAACTCCCTGCCTCAGGATTAACAAAATTAATACTGGCACTGGTACTAGTGCTAGTACAACCTTGTTCTTCAAACGAATATGACTCAGTCTGCTATTCCTGTTCTTTGAGCCATGCACAGTATAACTATAGCTATCAGGTGAATACTTTTTCTGAAATTGCATGTTCTGTGTTTTTTACGCCACCCTAAGGCAGAAAGCCTTCCAGAAGAATGTAGTAAGCAAGACTTTGGCCAGCTAGTATACCAAGTCTCCACAAGTCATTTTCCTCTTCCTTTGAGGTAGTTGGTGTCACTTTTACTTCACTTTATTGTAATGTCTTTGCAGGGGCGTATCTGAGGGGGACCTACAGGGGCCGGGGCCCCCCCCATCAATTGTTGTAGATAATGATATTCATTGTTTGTTTTATTACTTACCACCTAGTAATAAAAATTAACCACCTTATAATCATTTACAATACATTGCACAGCAGCAAATGTACAAGAAATAAGAAGTAGACAGAAGCAAAACACTCATTTTATATTAATCATTGTTGAAAATGTAAGATTTTGATGCTTTTAAAATACGCAAAATGCTATTTAGTGCACTATACGAACGCTAAAAGAGTGTCGCGAAATTTTTGGCGTGCTTTGTGCGCCATTTATCTCTAGGCCCCCCTCATCATTTCCTTCCTAGCTACGCCCCTGTGTCTTTGGAAATACGAGTCACTGACCTTGTGTAGCTTCCTGAACTGGTGGTCATTTCTATTTAGGAAATTCAGATTCTTTAGGAAGGGTTAAATTGTTGATGGTACCAGTAAATTCTAAACTACTTGTCCAGCTTCAAAGCTATCTTACCAGCTCAGATATCTGCTACATATTATTGTAGCCTCTTAACTATTGCTTTAAGCATCAAGCTTTTCTGTGTGTAGTGTTATCCTAAGCAACATGTCGCTAAAGGTAGAGACTCAAAACTTTTAGCAGCAAGTTCTTTAACAACACTAGTGTATTGTGCGCTATGCAGGCTATACAATTACTGAACATTATTTTTTTCTGATTTATTTGAAAAAATTGTTTCTTGCATATTTTGAAGTTTAATCTTATAAAAGTTCTTCTTTCTCTCAAACCCTCATGCACTTTATTAGGCTTTATTTCATCAGCAATTTCCAATATTTTTTATGCATCATATAATGTGCCTTATGTTGAAGTGGTACATGGTGTTTGCCCCACTTCTTGCCATTAATACCTTTTGGGTTTATTAACTTTATCCAGCCATTTTTTGGCTACTGCTGGCTTCCCAGGTAATGGCCATTATGGCTACACAGTATATTGTTCATTAAATGAATTAAATAAACAAAGGCCAAGTTTTGCAATATTTATAAGTTTACATGTTTTTCCTCAGTGACATGGTACAGTTAACAATAGCTACTGTATAGCTTGAAATTTTCGTGGAATCTAAATTTCGTGATTTTTGTGGTTATGGGCTTCCTACGAAATCATTGAAGTGCCATCCCCTTACAGGCTATGTAAACTGTCAACCATGAAAATTAAACCACGAATTGCCCCACTAATAGCAAACCACGAAAATATTGACCCACGAAAATATCAAGCTATACGGTATTCAGAAAAGAGAAATCAAACATCTAAGTGGCTGTATAACTTCATATAAACAATTTTTATGTCTTGTCCCCTCATTTTCACAAATTAGTTTGGATATTAATTTTTTTGCTAAGTTTTGTCTGGACAAGCGGCTCCTTTTGATCAACAAACATTGAAGGACCTCTATATCAAATACTGTTTTTTTGTCCTTCTATCCAATTCAAATCTTTCCATACAACCACTGCTTTGGCATTCTAATCATTTATTGTAGCACACTTCTTATATAGTGTCAGAGCACTTCTCACAGATATTACTGTAGCTGATTATTAATTTATGTATTTATTTCATTTGGACACTCAAGGACTTTGGACAAAATGCACAGTAAGGAAATAGATCTTTAATTTTTCCAGAGGATCTGTTACCAGACTTAAAAATAGGCATTATTAGATGGACCTTCTATTCATGGGAGTTTTCTATTTTAAGCAAATGAGGGATTTCAATATGACTACAGCCTGGGGTCCTAGACATTTGAATGATAATATGTGCATGCTTTTCCCTGTGAATATGTGCCCTCTGCTGATTAAATGACTTGATAAAAATGAAGGTAGGTCAGGTCTGCATATCCTAAAATTGAAGTAATACCGGGGTAGTAGTGACTGGACAAAAGTTTGTGATTAGGTACACATAGATCAATAGCAAATTTCTTTAGTATTGATGGACTAACATGGTTCATGCCCATAGCCTTAGATGTGGATTTGTGCATATGTACATATGTACATATCCACATATGTATATATATACTTATATACATATGTACGTACAGTATGTTCATATTAGAGCTGGGCGATAGTAGTCAAATCACTATCACGATAGTTGTCACTACTACTATCCTGATAGTGAAACTATCACGATATTATAGCTTTCTTGTTAACATATACATTGTGTCATAAATTTAAGTTTTTATAACTATTAATAACAAAAGTCAAAAGGAAGTAGTACATGTATATACAGGGTATATATAAATGTAGCTTGATGTGTTTTCTCTTTAGTCTTTACTTCAAGTTTTCTGCTAAAAATACCATCATATTAACATTGCTAGGTAGTAAGCATGATCGTCTTTCATTTACGACATGACCTGCTGCACTAAATACTCTTTCACATGGAACAGAAGTTGCAGGAATGGAAAGGTAATGCTTTGCCAGCTGAGAAAGCAATGGGTATCTGCCTTTGAAATTGTTCCACCACAAGAGAGGCAGCATATCTGTGTGCTCTTCTCCTTTATAACGAGATATTTCTGTGTCTAGTTGCTCTTCCAGAGGTATGCTTGATTTTATCTCCTCACTAGACCCAGCCACTTCTCCAATAAATTCCAAAAGTTTTTGTTCACCTTTTGACTTCTTTGGCTGTGGTTCTTCTAATGAGGTAGAGGCCCTGTTGGAGTCAACTGGGTGTATTAAAATTGCATCTAACTTAAGATCATACATAACTTATGTTCGACTAGATTCTGACAGGAACTTTAAATTTCTAAAACGAGGATCAAGAAAGCAAGCTTTTGTGAGCAACTTCAGCTTGTCATTTGTATATCGTTCACACAGGTCTTTGGAGAGAACTTTTTTCATAGATTTGGTTAGCTGGCTATCGTTTTCATCATGGACAAAATGTATGTTTAACAGCTTGTGCATTATTGGTCTCAATGTTGATATTGTGATCCATTTTTCTGCTCCAATAGCCTCAGTTACATCAACCAATGATTTCATCAATGAAACGAATTCTTCCATTGTCTTAAACTCATGATCAGTTGGCATGAGGTCCAGCTTCTGTATCTCCAACAGTATAGTACAGATCGGTTGCTGCTGCTCAATAATACGAGAAACCATATAATACAAAGAATTCCAGCAGGTTGCCACGTCCTGCACTATGGAGTGCTCTTTACACTTCAAGCTTCGCTGCTTTTCTTTTAAAATATATGATGATTTACTTGAGTGGTGGAAGTGAGTTGCTATTTTTTTACAGCGAGCAACCGCTTTTGCTACTTGTGGTAACTTCAGTACCTTTTGAACACCTAATTGTAGAGTGTGGGAAAAACAGGGAATATTTATCCAGTCAAGATCTCGTATGGCTCCAGTAATGTTTCTCCCATTATCTGTTGTTATCGCTGCTACATTCTCTGCACCTAGGTTCCATTCCTTGAGAATACTTGTTAGTTCATTTGCTATATTCAATGAAGTATGAGATTCAGGAAACTCCTTCGTTTCCAACAAAAAGTGATGTAACTTGAAATCGTTATCAATGAAGTGGATTGTCACACCAGTATAGGCATGATTAGCCCTAGATGTCCAAATGTCAGTTGTAAGAGAAAAACTCTTGACATCTGAGAGACAATGCATTATCTTCATCTTCTCTCCTTCAAACAACTGTGGCAAATATTTATAAGTTATTGTTTTTCTGGACGGAGGGTCGTATCGTGGCTCGAAAGATTGAAGGAGATGACGAAATCCAGTCATCTACTGTAGCAAGGGGCTGCATATCTTTGGCAATGAAATACCGTAGGTCGGGATATATTCGCGGCTGCTTATTTTCGCGATAATAAAAACTAATAAAAAGGTTCAATTAAATACCATGGAATTCAATCGATTGTTGCTATGACAATAAGACCACGTGTTTATACAATTACAATGTTCAGCAGCTATTTATCTATTCTTTAGCAGCTTTAGTGGGAGTCATCCAGTTCTCCATCCGCTATCTTCTTGTATGGACCACTACCTTTGAGCTTTTTGCTGGAAATCCTTGCCACACCACTTGCTGGTGATAATTAACCACGCCCAAGTCAATAAATGGGTGGAGAGTCCCAAGAATGAGCCAAGATACGGCGAGGCAGAGTGAAGAGAGTAGCTCTGGTTGAAACAGCTCCGAAGAGACCAAGGATTAGTAACAGCAAGAAGAACAACAGCCCAAGAACACTGCAACAGAGTCCTTTGCTATTAATATCGCGGACTTTTCAATTAAAATTGCATTTGGTAATCATGGTAATTGCTGAGTGCGGGAAAAAATCGCAAAAATAAGCAGCCGCGAATATATCCTGACCTACGGTAACAGCATAGATACTACATACACATGGATGTGAAACAGGATGCGCTCGATCCTTGGCGCCGAAAGTGATGTATCATGACGTTTACACTACACGTGTATAAGCATGGCACAAGCAAAATAGTGAAGAAATCCAGTTGAACTACTTACTAAAGCTCAGGTCTACAACTATAGAAGAGTTACAATCAATATTCTAGTTCTAAAAAATGAGGATCTACTATTACAAGAATGAATGCACCCTGCTAAGTACTACAAAAATTATTATTAAAATTATCACTATAATGATTATTCTATTCTTTAGTCACCCAATAGTTTGATTATTATTATGAGTCTTTCAACAAATTTTAACTATAAAAATAGCAATAAAAACATTGACAACAATTATTATAAGCACTTACTGTATCACCATACAGTACATACTGTAATGTACATCATCTCTATCTTGATAGTACTCCTCTGTGGTAGCATAAATATGAAGCTTTACAATCATGTAACAATGTCTCATCAATGCCACTGACATCCTGCTTGTGTTCCTTGGTAAGTAACCTATTCTTTCACTACTCAGTTCTCACTAATAATTAAACCATACC